GGCGGTGGGGGGGGTGGCGGTTATGGGCATTACCGCCGCCGCCACGCGGAGAGCCACACCGGACAGGACTTCCAACCCGCCGTGGGTAACCGCAAGGAGGAGTTCAAGGAGGACTTCGACTTCGAAAAGAGCCGTGAGGAGTTCGAGAAGAAGAAGAGTGAGTTCGAGAAGGTCAAGGAAGATATTAAGGTCCAGGTGAAGGGCTACTCCAAGTCCAGCGGCTTCTTTGACAACATCTCCAGTGATCGGAAGGATCGTAACCAAATCCGGACCGATCGGGAGCAGATCAAGAAGGCTGATGCGGAGACCTTCGGACCGGATATGGTGGGAAGCATGCGGAGTTTCCGCCGCGGGCGAGACGGCCGTGGACGCTACCACCGCTACTGATGATGTACAAAAAACAGGGAGAGAATTGTAGCAAACAGAATAGAAGAAGAAACAGAGGGATAGATGTGAACCAATGAAGAAAAAAAGACGACACCTTTTTTTTTAAGCGGAGAGAAGAACGGGAATTGCGAATTTTGACTTGATCGTGCGGCTAATCAACAATCGCAAAACTTACTGGAGAAGATCCCAGCCTTCAACGCGTTGTGTGCTCCTCTGTGACTGAAGAGGGGTGCATCTTGCGTACTGACCCCTCAAGATGAGAGATCATAGGGCATAGCATTAACGTTTATAAGATTTCTTCAATATAACCATTTCAAAAGGTGGAAGGTGAGCCGCAAATTCACAACCATCAGTTTTTCTACTATTACTATTATTATTATTACTAATACATTTTAAGAGGAAAAGTATAATATAATGTATTTATATATTTATATTATTTATTTTAAAAGGTTATCGCTTCATTGTGATGTAGAGGAACACTGGTTGGTAGGGCTTGAGAGAGTGTTTCTGGGAAGTGAGCATTCCTTTGTTCTCCACAAGGGTAAAACAGGGGGGAATGAAAGCAGTAAAAGAAAGGTGGCATTATTATTAAGGAGTATTAAAGAGGAAATGTGGCGGAGTGGAGGGAAAATATGCTTGAGATTTTAAAAACTGGATCCATAAATTATATATATATATATATATCTGTATGTATATATATAAAGGTGTGTGTGTGTCCTTGTGCGGTGTAAAATGATCTAACGTTTCCAGTGTCTCGAAATCAGTGAAGAATGAATAAGGCCACGCTTAAATCTTCCTCCCTTTTTACGTCTTTATGCATATGTACGTGTGTATCTATATAGGCAATTATTCTTGTTTTCCCTTTTAGGGTATAACATATATTTTCAGAGTCAAAAAAGGATAACTTCTGATTCAAAGGAAGCGGTAAATTTTGCAAAGCGTTGGAACGCAGAGTGCTAAGTGATCTTTATTGTTACTTAGTAAAAGAAATGTGAAGAGGAACACTACAGTGAAACTATATCTCGATCTCGCTTTATATATATACATATATATATATATATATATGTATATATATATTCGTCTACAGTGGGTATAGCGATTGCGATGTTCAACGTACTTTTTATTTGTTGCTTTCGACACGATTCTACTTAGAAGTTGCAACAAAAAAAACTTATTGCACGCCCTGTGGAAGTTTTCTCTTTTTTGTGTGTACGTTCACTTAAATCATGTTTTATTATTTTCTTCTGATCTCTTTATCGGAGTTTTTGGTTGATGGGAAGCATTTTTCTGACACCCGAATCATGACTTCGTCACTTTATGCCGATAAAAATGATATTGAGAAAGGAAATTAAAAATTATATTAAAGCATAAAAGAGGGAAAGCGAAGGAAACGGGATTTGTGACTCTGATCGATTACCTTGTTTTCACTTCATATATCTTTATCTATTAAACTGTCTATTCATAGAACACGTTATATTTTTCTATTCATTTTGACACTGTCTTGGATAACATGTGCCGTCAGGAACAAATTTCATTTCTTTTTTTCCTAATACGCTAGAACCAAGAGACTGATAATACTGCACGTTGAGAATATTGGACAAGATACAAAGTTCAGCTCATGTGGTTACTAATAGGGGTTAAAAGAAAGGAGAAAAAATAGTGAAGTAGGGAAAGGTTGATTAATATTCTTTTTATACAATCTGATCCATCAACTTTGTTTGGAGGATCTAGGTGCACGCATACACACACATACACACGCACACACACAACGCACGTTATCTATTGTAGTTATAATGGTAATAAATCCTCATAAAATCGGCGTATACCTCCTGTTTAGCCTTCGCTTATTATTCTGCCTAATCATTCTTGTTAACTCTTAAGATGGATGGTAAAATTATTTTAAACGGCGTGTTGGATTTTTTAAATTGTTCTTTTTCCCAAATCATGCGGGAAAGTGTTTGAGTCGCGTTTTTTTCCTACTTACTCATTTGCGCTGACTTCGGCAATTTTCAAGATTCGCCTGAAAAACAGCATGGATAACTTACGACGACGGTGAACGGGTCTTCCAGCTCTCATTCTTCCACTTGAATGTGCATTAGGATTAATATCGATTTTATCGCTTTTGATTTTCTATGTGTTTTTGAGCCACTTTTCCTCATTAAGGTGGTTTGTTTGAGAGGGACTGGAGGTCACCGTCACCGCACAGGGAAAAAATAGCCAAGCGCAAAGAAGCAACAATCACGCCCTCAGAGGGTAAACCAAGAAAATATCGTAACTCCACACGACTTTTATTAATATATAAATATGTGTTTTATGCTTGTTTTTTATTGTATTAAGTGGCTGATCTTAGAGGCATATGATAATATGGAGTGGTAAAAAGTTTCCTGATTACGTTCATAAGTCTATTTCTTCTTAAGTTTGCTTTGCTTCTTGAACGAAAGGGAGGGAATGAATCTCTTTTCAGCGATCCATTCACTTTCTTAAAGGCATATGAAAAAGGAATGTAGCCTGAGTGGGATGCGTTAACCAACATTACTATCAACAAGAGCGTAGTTAAGACGATTTTATTGCTTACTCCTTTTCTTCATATTCAAGCCACACCTCCGGTATACTTCCTTCGTGTTATAATGAGGAAAACGGAGAGTTGTTTCTCAGGATAATACACGATGTAGTGGGTATCCAATAAATAAGTAATATATATATATATATATATACATGTATATATATATATATATATCACAGAGGGGGATCGAGAACCCCTTCTCTGACGGTGTTTTAGTTTTTACTTGAAGATAATTTTTAAAGGTGTGAGAAACAGGAAAATAACCCTAATATAGAAAAAAAGGTATAAAATGGGCTTAGCCCTACATAATGAATTGCAAAGCGAAGAATAACCTATTAATGCGTTACGTGGTATAGATTGGGGCGACTTGTTTATGAGAGAATGCATTGCTTTTTTTTTGAATGAAAACCATGTTTATTTAATTGACACTTAAAAAAAGCTATTCACTGCAAATATACACACCTTACACTTGATATTGAGAATTGAAGTTGAATGAATAATTAGATGGAGTCAGAGGGTGGAATGATTACCTTTCTTCCCCTTGGGATGATGAATTACTGAATTCCAATTCTTTTTGCTTTACAAACACATCTATATATCTAGCGTAAAACACACCTTATTGTAGACACACACGCTTAGGGGTAGACATCATGACTAAAGGACCAAAGGAAAGAAAATAAATGCAACACCAATGAAGCATGACTCTGCAGCACATGATCCTTCGTTTGCTTTAATCAGTTTTATCCTGCATGATCCCCATAATGTTTCACCGACGTAGGCTCAGGGATATTATGATCCTAGCAAAAGTGTGTGAGGGCGTTGCTTGTTGGATTATAGCGAACCACTCTGGTTACGATCCTTCATTATTTCTTTTGATTTTTGCTTCAAAGTCACCATGGGGGGAGGGGGTGGTGTATGTGGAGATTTTTAATATAAAGTCTCTCCTTCACTCTTTGTTTCTTTTTCAGCTTCCTGTGGGCTTTGCGATGAGGGCATGCTCATGAATAGGATTTCTCAGGTTTAACGAGAATCAATTGCTCCTTCCTTTTTTTCTTACAGCGTGTGCGCAGGAGATCCCATAATGGGAAACGGGAAAAATGGTGCACCTGTCCCTTCGTGACTATTCCATTTCTCGTCTTTTTCCTTTTCTCTCTCCCTTCACGATATATTTCTACTTACACTTGAAGTGCTCAAAAGCAAAACAGGACAGCGTGCGTTATTTGCCCGTGGTGTTAGCGCGCTGCGGGAATCCCCTAAGAGACCCCTTTCGATCGTTTGGTTCGTTAGAGCGGCGGGTTTGAACCTTCTCGCCCCCTTCCCGTCCTCCTGTTTCCTCCTCTTGTTTCTTCTTTTTAAAAATTTCATTGCCTCTTTGACGTATCTCTGGGCCTGATGATGCGCATTTGGTCGAGTGCGGGGTGTCGGTTCCCGTCGGGGCTGACGGCGCCGTTTCTCGCGCGGGCCTTGTCGTCGTTGTCGCTCGGCCCCCCCACCCCCTCGCAGCGCCCCCCCCCGTCTTTGTCGGCCCCGATTTACGTCGTCGAGCCCGCGCAACGGCGGGGGTCCTTCCGGCGGTTCCTCCGCCTCGCGGGCGGGGAGCTGCCGT